CATTATACCAGTCACATGGTGTAACCTCTCCGCTGTTATCAACAACAAATCTATATCCATCTTTTTTCTGATTAGCATTATTTGCAGCAGTTGTAGTCACTGCTGTTTCTAAGTCAAAAATAACATCTTGAGTTCATATCGTTCGACATATTTTGGATCCCTAAAAGATTTCATATATTGATAGATTAGATAAATTTTCTCATCCGGCCCCCAGATAATAATTGATTTACTCTTTCATTGATTTCATAATCGCTTAATTCTCTTGTTTGTGGATTTTCTATTGGTGAAGCCACTACCGGTGTTTTTGTGTTTTTATTCTTTTCGATTAATGACTGAATAACTTTATCGCCTGCTTTTTCGCCCGCGTATTCACCAGTTTTAGTAGCAGCAGTCTGAACGGCTTTTTTGGTTGCTGTTTTAGCAGCTTCTTTTACCGTCTTTCCAAACAACTTTCTACCAATCGTTTTTAAAACATCGGTAATACCTTCTCTATAAATATGCTTCTTAACATATCTACCCATTTTAAAATCATAACGTCTTTTGAATTCTGATTGTTTCATGTATATTATTAGGTTAGATATTATATTGGTTTAGATCGTCAAATTGTCAGTTGGAATATCAGCTAGCGTATTTGTGTTAACACCGTTTAAAATGTTTGTAATGGCATCTGCGTTAATATAGATCATGTCTATGGAATTTGCAATATTGGGAAGATTACCATCTCCATATTCTGTTTTTTTTCACAATTTCCTCTGTAAATCCAATTAACTCTCCAAATTTACTATTTGTAAGATCCAGCTGGTAATTGTTGTCGATCTGAATGAGAATCTTGTATGTTGACAATACAAATGTTAGGTTAATGTAATATACATCATCTTTTTTTGCATCAGTACGTTTATGGCCCTTCTTTTTCATGTACTGATGAAGATAATCATTAGGTCTGAGTAAGCATACATTCCGTCTATAAATTTGACTGTTTCCCATAAATTTCCACCATCGGGTGAGTATTTCATTTCATTATTTTGATACTTATCTGAAATATTGTGCCAACTGTAAGTCATTGTAACCTTATCCAGTGCAAATTCATGTGTCATTATTTCGGAGTTTTAAAACTGGATCGAGTTTGATTATAAAATCCTCTGCTTTATTTTTTCCGATTTTCTGTCTATCAACAGATGAAATATGGATAGTTATTTCTTGCATTATATTATTAGATTATATTTTCTTTCAATAGACTATTAAGCTGGTTGTTTTTTTCGAACACCTAATTTGTTTATGTATGGGCAATTTGTGACAATTCATTTTTGACAACATTATTTCCAGCCAATATGGATCCGCCTAACAATTCCAGTCGGTCCAAAAGGTCAGCTGGATTTTTATAATAAACAACACCAGAGCCGATTCTTTTATACCTATTACTGGTTCGATGAATTGGAATATCACTTATTCTGTTTGATTCATCAAATACCTCTTTGTGAGGAGATCAAGTGTATCAAATTCTACTTGCTTTTCACAGACTTTTCTACCATCCTCATGAGCAATTAGTCTGAGTTGTCTATAAAGTTTAGGCACATCAATGTTTACATTTCCATTAACACCAGTTTGTGGGTTAATCTTATAAGCATTCCTCTTATTTGTGTATAAATACCCTGACCAACTTTCAATGTTTTTGCACCTTCCTCTAAAATACCAATTCTTTGTCTGTATTTTTTTATGATGTCAATCCCTTCAGTATACTCAGCAATTTCATCCTTATTTCTCTTTCTATTAGTTTTTGTTGTTCTTAAACTGGCTTTTTTCTGACCTAAGTCCTTATTTATTTTACCAGATTTATCTAATATTTGTTTCGCATAATTTGGCTTTTTTAAGGTTTATAAAAAATATCGGCTCGTAATGGCAATTGCTGGCTTTGTATAAACGCCAATTCTTCTTGAGTGAATCCTTTATTCAAATCAGCTACCATGCATTTTGGGTGCCTCACCGCTTGGACCCGGTAATGCTAATCTTTGAACTTGCTCAGCGTATGGGACAACTTGTTTTGAAACATCTTCTCTCAATTTACTGGTCTCCTCTATCTCCTTATCAAACTTTTCGGTTAGAGGTTTCAGGTTTTTAGATATTTTTTCGTATACATCCTGCTCATTAGTTTGGACTTCTTTTATAACATCCCTAACAACTTCAGTCATTTTTCCTGCTTCAATTTTAGGAATACTGAGTCTCTTAAATCTTTCAATATCCATTATATTAGTACATTATATAAAAACTTATCTCAACTTATCTTAACTTATCTTGAATTGTCTAACATAAAAGTATATGGAAATTCCAAATTATGATTTCAATGAAGGTGAAAATAAAAACTTCAAACAACTTTATAAATACATGCCCAAATCCAATTTTAGGATGCTAATATGTGAAAATTCAGGTTCACGTAAAACAAATCTACTTTATAACATCCCTATGGTACCATTAGTCTATTATGACAAGATCCATTTATATGGCAAAAATCTGGAACAGGAAAAATACAGACACATGATTGACACAATAAAAGATATCAGTGGCCAGCTTGGATATGACATAATGCATTGCAATAATGATGACATAAAACCTGTCAATTGTCTGGAAAGTGATTCTCAGAAAATTGTAATATTCGACGATTTCATTTGTGATAAAAATCAAAGCCACTTATCGATTATTTCATTCAAGGGTTGCACAAGAACTGTAGTGTTATTTACCTTTCACAATCATTTTATAAAAGTCTAGAAGATATCAGATTAAACTGCAGTCATTGTGTTATTTATGATTTCCCAAGCAGTAACGAAAGAAATATGATTTTTAGAGAGCTGAATGTAACAAAGGATTAATATATTAAAGCCACAAAACAAACATACTCATTCCTCCTTCTTGAAGAAATTCATCAGGCTAGTGAAGTTAAACAGTCGATTTAAATGTTTTTAAAACATAGCCAGTCTTAACGTCTTATTGATACTAACAGTTTCGATGACTGTCAGCCATCTTTATCAAAACGTGAAAAACATTAAAAGTGTCAGAAGCCTTAAATAGGTTTCTGAAGGTGTTAATTATTGCGATAAATGCGCAAAATCACTCTTTAGACGCACCCTCCCCCCCTGGTTTGGGGGTGGAGATCACTTGTGTCCATATGGGAGAAAGCTTATAGGCTCCCTCGTCCCTGTTCATAGTAGGAATGTTCCATCTAATACATATGCTTTCCTTGATCCGTCGCTTAAACTTGTCGCCTTCCTGCTCAACTATTTCACTTGCTTCCCAATTCATAATATGATTGTTCTGACAGACGTGGTCTGTTATGGCTGATTTATGGTGTTCATTGGTAGAAGCTCTGCGGGTGGATCTTGTGAAATTTCTGTCAGAGATCTTTTCTGCTTCCTTTCTGTGTTCTGTGATCCTGGTTCCCAGCTGTCTACCTGTTACACCGGTATATACCTTTTCGCATTGGCTGCATGGAATCTTGTACACTACTCCAGCCTTTTTTTTGCCGTCTCAACTTTGTCCTTCGGGTGAACTAAAACCTGTCCGAGGGTGGTTTGAGGTTTAACCACTGTGGCTACCCTGTGTTTGGTGAAAATACGTTGTATTTTCTCCGTGAATGAGTGGACATATGGGACAGTCACCACTCCTCTTGATTTTTCTTGTGCTTTATCTTTCTCGGATTTATCTTTTCTAATAGCTTTCTTTCTGTTCATTTGCTCTTTGACCTTCTTTATCGCCCAATCCGGCTAACCACATGTATGGAGGGCTGTTCGTATGCGTTCATCCTCTTGTTTACGGTCTTCTTCTTCCGTGACAATGCTAATAAGACCCCCATCGATATTGATCACGGGGCAAACAAGGTCTATGTAGACACCAAACACATCAAGAGTGGTGGTTTAATGACAGGTAATTTAGATATGAAAAACAATAGGATATATAATGTGGCTCAACCAAATGGTGATAATCAACCAGCCACAAAAATATGGTTAGAAAATAAATTCCTGGATAAGTCCAGTGGAGTTATGGGTGGACCACTAGATATGTCCAATAATAAGATTACTCATCTTGCATCAGCAACACAAGATGGGGATGATACTAATAAAAAAATACATTGATGATGATTATTTGAAACTGTCTGGTGGTACTGTTACTGGCCATATAATATTAAACAATCCTCTCCTTGTTTCACAATATCAAGCAATAAGCCGGAACACTGGAAATGCTTATTTTGTGCAAAGTTTTATTCCGTATGCATATTCCCGATTCAATATGGTCAAAAACAAAACAATAAATCTTAGAGACCCAACTGATGTTACTGATGCAGTAAATTTACAAACATTGAATAAACATGATATAAAGCCACCTGATCATACCAATAGATTTGCGTATCTTATGGATCCCACAAATGTTCTTTTACAATGGACTGATTCACTAACCAATAGTATTGCCTTGAACAGCATTGGTGATTTGAATACAGCATCAGGCAATTATCACAACTACAATAAAAAGGTGATTTTTGCCTCCATTGGAAAGAACGCAGAGGGATATATATGGCGATTAGCTATCCAGTGCTATCCCCTTCAAAAAGAAAAAGAATATACCTTATGCTTGGAAATCCTGACTACTGACTATCAATTGTGGCACAAATCTGTAATTACTGTTGATACAACTACTAGCCAGGGAGTAACTGTACAAAGTTGGCAGGTGAATAAGTACTCACATGAGTATAAAACATCGTCCAATCAGGTTGAATATATGTATTACCATAAGCTTGTGGTAACCTTCAGTAAAACAGCCTCATCCACGCCTTATTTTCTACACATTCAAAATATTATGGCCCAGGCAGGAACTGAATTGAATACATATCCAACTAATTTCGATAAATATTACCTAATAGCTTACGGTATTCTCGGCGAAACAGTGGATTTAGACCCAAATAAAACTTATAATTACCATACGGCGTTTGATATTCAACCTACGAGAGTTGTTTACAATGTGGATCTGGATATGAACCGACAGAGGATACTTAATATTGCTCCAGATAGAAGTCGTAATAATAGCGCCGCTACTGTAAGGATGGTCAAAGATGAGGAATCATTAATCAGTAAAAGCCTGTACGAAGAAATATTTGACCAAGTATTTGATATCAGTGATGCCGTCTCGTCAGGATCACACTGATTGGTATCTCCAAACATATAGATCTGATTGTGGTACTTAGTGAACGCCTGATAGACCTTTGTCATCCAAGAATTAGGTACCATCGAGTATTCGTCTATAAAGATGGTCTTATCTTCCAGTGCTGACAAATCTCTCCCATGATAATCACAGAAGTACAGATCAAATGTATAACATTTCTTGGCTAATTCATAATTACGGTACTTCTTTCTCAATACCGACTTCACATTTTCGGTAGCTTTGTTGGTAAATGATAGAATGATGGGATCTTCGGCTTCACTTGCCAATTGACATAACTTATAAGTCTTACCACAGCCTGCTCCTCCATAACAGATTGTACCATTGCCCATATAATCAGTGTAATTGTCGGGATTCAAATTCTCCCTATAATGTTTCTCGAAATATGTGACATTGCTGTCTGTCTGGAACATCGTACCGATGTGGTCAATCTCAAACTCGACTTCTTTCTTATTAGGATATTCATTTTTACAATTTGTTAATATTCCATCTGTGTTGATTGCATGTAATTTACTATGTTCAGTCCAATTATCCCACATTATGTTTAGGCATTTGAGAATTGCCTGGCTTATTACGAATCTGTTAATCGATGTGCTGTCTGATAATATACGCTCAATCTGTCTCTCTCTGATTAGGAAAAGCTCATTTTTAGTGTTAAGATTCTTATAGCTGTCAATCGTGATGTCACGATTCTCAGCAAGTGCTGATATCCATATACATTGAGCTGTATCCATTGACTGACAAACAAATCCATAATCCTTACGACTATACTTTCTACCAAGTTCACCTATAAAACTGTTCGCAAGCAATTTCGCCTGAGATTCTGGGAACATAGTAAATATTGCTGTTAAGTAATTCTTGAATGTATCACTTTTTAGCGCCTTACGAGCTGGTATAAACCATTTGACATTAGTTGGTGGCATCTTAAATTGTTCGATTAATGCCTCAACGAGGTTCCGCTGTAAAATCCTGATTCAATCTTAATACCTTTACCCATTCGATCAAACCCATACTCGTCAATGTAATATTCACCGGTTGTCTTGACATCTCGATTCCAATCAATTGGCTGGATAACATCATGTATAGTATATATTGGTATAGGGACTTTATTGTCGATTAAAACTGAAGGGTAACACTTGGATATATCCAATGAAGTCAGATCATCAGGCGCTGGGTCATTTGAACACCATTGTAAAGCTCGAGGATAGAAATCATCTATTACTTCGCGTGTTTTGGTGTCATATTGTGATTCTGGGAGATAGCCGCGCATATGTTTGGAAAGTGAGGAAGCTAATATTGTGTAAGACTGATTTCACCAAATGAAGTTATATTTACTTACGTGTGTCATATTTATTATTAAGAACATACCTATTGTTCTTGTGATCCATAAAAACGTCCAATCTGCCATTGTTATCAAAATGTAAATATTCGACAAAGTAATTAGTACGTGTTACATATTCTTCAATTATGGGCTAGACTTTAGTATGGTGGTAAGATTATAGCATGGTCTTCAATAGTTGCTAATGCTGATTCATCCTTATTGTCATTGATTGGTTCCTGGCTTTCATCACCTTCATCAAAAGGGACAAATTCAGCCTCTACTATCAAATCATTATCGATCAATTGTTGGCACATAATATAATTACTCGATTTATTTGATCATTTCCTTTCTGTCATGTTGCGCCATAGATTGTCTGCACCACCTTGATTAGCTTTTGTTGCGATCTGCTTCAGTCGAGCATCCTGGATAGGATATAAATGATGGTCCTTGATATAGAACACGAGAGTAATTTCCGAATGTCCATGCTGTGGTACATGCTTCATAAATTTGCGCCACGTTGAATCATAAGCGTGGATAGACACATTAGGATGACATGTTTTAGCCCATTCAACTAACTCCTGTGTTGACATCATTAGGAAATGGGCTGCATATTCTTGAAGTTCGTTGCTCAATTTTTGATATGTGTATTTCTGGAATCCTTGCTTGCCCTTACAGTTATGTCAAACAAAGTCAATCATGCAGGTATTATCCCCACGTTGCTTTATCGAGAAAGAATGTATTCAATTTCAATTTGCCAATCTCATGATCATTGTGGGTATTTATTGTAGCGCCTATATCTGTTATTGTTTCAGTTGATAATACAATGTATACATCAGAAATTTGTACATATCTGGTTTGCTTAATTTTGGGATTTCCATATTAAACGGACCATATATCTTCTCATTGATGTCGGTTTTATTACCCAATATATGTTCGATGTCAGCATGTATTGTTATCTGTACTTTTTCCCGTTTACCAGGCATATTGTTTAATCTATTATGGAACAAATTCTGGAACGAGCAATCTTTCTTATAATTTGATATACTGGCGCGGACCTAATTCTTCATCTCACATGTCTTGCATGTCTTATGTAACCTAATAGTAGACGCTTGTTTATCGGACAGATTCTCAAAGTACTTAATTTTGTCCGTAACCATTGCATTTGCTGCCAGCGTTTTCTAAGTTGGCATTTTATAACTCTGTTTGGGCAGTATGGCTGGTCGTTTTATAGAATGTTCTAATTTTTCAGCCGCTCTTTGTACGAGTGATTTAGGTTTGAAGACAGTCTGGTCAACTGGTCCTGCGGATTTGGCGCTCACAGTTTTCGGCTTTTGACCCAGTAGCATATCAATAAGCTGCTGTTTTGGTCATTTTTGATAGATCTTCTCTATTCATATTAATAGTGTAGATTAAATTTTCCATATTCATATTACTACTATATAGTTTTTTATTTTTGTCATTTAAACACACTTGCTTATGCATACTTAATTAACGTCATATCTCTTTAAACCCCTTTTGGTTGTGATAAGCGAGAGAACCGCCCAAAACCGCCAAGAACCGGTTACCAAAATGCTGACTCAGCAAAAAGCATATCGTTTAGTCATAGTAGGGAGGGAGAAGAATGGTTCACGCGGAGAGTAGCCCCATTTCAAACTGAGTGTGAGATTCGGGTCTGACAGCCCCCGTAGACGAAGTTTAAAATTAAAGTTTTAAATAATTCAAGATTAAATTTGTTCACTTAAAATGACGTTTTCCCTCATAACTTTTTATTGAGTGCAATAGACTGTCATTCCAAACGTGAAGCGTTAGAAATATTTAATATGAATTAGACAAATGTTATCGCTCAATTTCTTTTCTTAAACCGGCCACCAATTGGTCAATAATTTACGATTTTTAGCAAAATGTTCACGTGACATATCACCTGACTTATTGACCCAATATTTATAGTTTAAAATGTTAAGGACGATGAGTTATTTATGTGTGCCAAATTTTCATTCAGCGTCATCATCTGCGCCGAAGTTATAGCCAATAAATCATTTTCCACAGGTTGACCTCTTAGTCCCAGTCCTTAAACTACTTGAGTAAGTGCATCTTTGAAGTTGAAATTTCACCCCAGGACAATTAAATTGCTTTGTTCATTCAATTTTTCACAAAAATCAAAGCAAGCTAAAAAAGATTCAATGAACTGTATATTAATGTTACAGTAGTGATTAGTTCACTGATCAAACCGTTTATGGGTAATATAACTGCGTAATATTTTGAATCAGAGTGTGGACTTTATTGTAATGATTATTCTTATTTATTATAGAGTATTAAGAACAACGAATTCAAAGAAAGTAAACTCAGTCTTCTATTTGGTTGGATGGCGAGGGCAATTCCTATTATGCCAATCTATCATCAGTTTGTGATTAATTATTCGTAATTGTACTAATGCATTTCTCTCTATACTCACCGTTGGGGCAGTACATCTCTCCACAAGGTCGCACCTCAAAAAATTCCCCTTTGCAATCATTTCCGCCGTTCCTCTTAGGAGGAGCATTGCAACGCCTATATCGCGCCTGTGTTCCAGAGCCACAAGAAGCACTGCATAGACTCCAAATTGACCACTGTGTGTAGCCACCGTCTACAGCTATGGGTTAAAAGATGATGCTGATCACATAGTGGACGATTTGATCAGGTTTATTATTATATACGGAATATAATTTTGCTGTGCAGCAAGTTGGAGTAAGGTGCAAGAGGTGTGATAAAGGACAGATTGATATTGTCGGAGTACGTACAGGGCAAATGGGTGGAGATAATAAAAACGAGTATTAGTAGAAGGTACCGGCAAGAGCAGATTTTCTAGGCAAGTAGATTTACCCCTTGCAATTATATTATGATTTTTGTGGAAAGATTGTGAACTTTAAAAATTTCAATATAAAAATGTTCTATGGTGATAAAAAATCAAGAATGTTAAAAAAGCTAAATAATAAGCTTAGAATCCTAAGAAAAAATGTATCTAAACTTACTGCAAACCATCTCTATTACTTGACTGACATAACTTCGGTATCCCAATTCGCTATCCATCACCAGAACGTTGTCTCCTCCTATTTCTTCTAACACTGTCCTGTTGATTTTAATGTTTACACCGTATCCCACAGCCACAATGTGAACTTTTTTCTCCTCCTAGAACAAAAATGATATCCGAACAAAGTGAACATTTTAAAGCCAAACAGAATTAGACAACCAGAATTTGCATCTAATGCTGCTATAATGGAGAAATGAAAAGCTCTTATAACGGCTGGGATTCGTTTTAAACCACTCGCAATATAGATCCCTGTGTTTCGTTTGTTCAAAGTGGAGTTGCAGAAAGGCCCTTATAGGAGGTCAGACTCTAAACTGACCCAGGAAAGGCATTGTCTTCCTGCTTGTAACTATTTTTTCTTTAAACAACAAGGGTGAATTTTATCTAGCAGGGCAAAAAGAACGTTTTTATGTTCCGCTCCAGACAGGCTCTACTGTGATTTTCTAGCGATATAAAACCACTGACAGAGAAGCTAAAGTCCTGCAATCCAGATCATGAACGTTTCTAACTTGGAGAAGAAATCTTGAGATGATCAAGAGATCGATCGAAAACGGGGGCATCCCCTCTCGAGGTGACACATAAAAGAAGTGAATAAGTCGGTGTTTTTTACTGATGTTATAAAGACAAGCAAATGCCTCTTTAGTCTTAACTTCTAGTTCCAAAATCTTTCACTTACGTGGTATATATGCCTTTACCTTGAAACTGCTTATAGTCAGTGGCGGATCCAAACCCTCAGATAAGGAGGGGGCCCGGTCATCCAGACCCTGAGACAAGGTGGAGAGGAGGCTGTCTTAAATTTCTTTTTCGGGCCTTCGGGCCTTCGGGCCTCAGTTTGGTCCAAAAATAAGGAGGGGGGGTGGGTGGGGCGCGGGCCCCTTCTCTGGATCCGCCACTGATAGTGTAGAAGTAGCTTCATTAGCACGGGAATGTCACCGTTTTGGCTACACTTGAATGAGAAAAAAGTTTCATTGATTAAGGGAATTCAACGCATTTTATCTTACCCTTAAAGGAGGAATCGTCAAACTGAAGGGAAGAACCTCATGCGGTGGGAATGGCCTCCCGTCCGTGAACACAAGCAAAACATTCTGCTTCTCCGTCCTGTCCCCTGCTCGAGTTGTAAACAACTCGTGGTAGGCAGATAGTAGCCCCCTGTCTATTCTTGTTTTAAATATTGTTTTATTGGTTATACCGACAATCCTGTTTGCTAGACCGCGAGCCGAATAATATCTGCGGTCAGCAAAGTTGAACTCAAAGTGACTGGTTGCATGAAATGTGATCAAACCAAAATGGGTTTCGGACTTGGATATCTGAAACGTCCTAACGAATGGCGGGAAAAGCGTTCTCAATAATACGTTAAGATTCCTTCGACGGACACTTAATGACGTGTCGATAAGAATTCCAAGGTCAAGTCCCTGTTGGCAAGGACCTATTTTAAGTTAAAAACAAAACACATAGATTAAACTATTAAGCAATTATGTATTAAGGATGCAAGATGATACAAGAGGTACACTGGCTAAAACTCATGGGTCTCCAATGCTCTCTTCTCGCTTTGAAAGAGCCTATAAAAGAGCTATGGATTCTGAGTTACATTTAAAGTGAGCTAGTTTAAATTTACTTAGCTTAAGCGAAGTTTTTTAATTATTATGCTGGGTTTTCAATTTAAATTAGTTGTAAACCTTGTAGTGAAATAATTGTATTGGCAGGTCTTTACCAACGATTCTATTAGTTTCATATAATTTTGATATCAAAGTATAACAATAATCTTATTTTGAGATCTAATATTTCAGATGAATGTACACTGTTGCCACATGAATAGAAGATGGCAGTTCTGCGGACTAGAAATGTGGTAAGTCAGGAGGCAGGGTTCCAGGGAAAGTAAAGTAACTCAACTTTTAAAATAATTCTTCTTACTTTCACTATCGCATTTATTCGTGTTGCATGTCTTAGTCTGTATGTCTGCACCAGCGCAGAATTGGCCATTTTCTTGTTGAGGTGGGTTAACACAAAGCCTTCGACGTTTCATTCTCCCTCCCCCGCAGTCATGGCTGCAGACAGACCATAAAGTCCATTCACTGTATCCGCCGTCGATATCTGAGGTAAAAATTTTAAACAAGAGTAAAGAACAAGAAGCCTTCTTCTTTGTCTTGGGCCGTACCATAAGGTTCAAGCCTCATCTTTTTGCAAGCGGGAAATCTCAGACGGCTTTTATTCTTTTTATCAACATATTCAAAGCTTTTGCACCATATCTTTTAAGCGGGTCCATTTCTGAGTTAGTATTTCAAAAGATGACTGTTATTCCATTGGGGGGAGGGGTGGGGAGGGATGGGTTCGCTGACTAGAGATTGATGATTGCTCGTTACCTCCACACGGTTGGCTATTACACAGGCGAGTGTCACTAGATGGTCCCAAATCGTCACAGTTTGAGCCATCCTTAGACGGTATTGGGTTTGAGCAACTCCTTTGGCGTATTTGCTGGCCTACTCCGCATGTTTTACTACATACACTCCATTCACCCCACTCTGTATAACCTCCATGGATAACTAAAGTTCAAAAGGAATTGAGAAGCACCGTTAATGCGAATATTATTTTAAGGATGTATTATAGTTGAAAATGTCACAAATCCCAGGTCAAATAGATCGGTATCGTTAAACTTTACATGTAACTTTTAGAAATGAACTTATTCATTTCCACAGTAATTTAAGCCTAACATCTAAATTTTGGTGATGTAAGGTCAGTCAAAATCTGTTTTCCAAGGAAACATCACATTACTCATTAGTTGAGAAAAATGTCCGTAATAAGTTTTAGGAAGAGTAGAATAACAAAGTCAGTGTCAAGATACTAACGGCAGGTGTAACCAACAATTTCCTGCAGTCGAGAAAGAGCATCAGCAACATTTTGGACAAAGACGGCATGGCC